AAAAAAAAAAAAAAAAAAAAAAAAAAAAAAAAACTGCAAATTGCCCATGCACAAGACTGTCCAACCCTTGGAGGAAACAAGAACTGCCTAGCATCTAGCATTAGAGCAACCACAGGAATGGAACCGCAGGCAGAACATTCATGCACAAAAACAAAATCCATGGAATAGTGGGACTCACATACCAACCTCCTCATTATTAAGACCCCGGCCAATCTGTATTGTGTACTCAGAGTTTATGGAGCGCAGGAAGAAGTTGAGGCCGAATTAAGAAGGGCTTTGCAAGTTTGCACCCATCAAAGGACCAAAATTAGCAAAACTCCTTCGGTTGTAAGCTGCATAATCTTGCTCATGAGGGAAAGGCAGCTCTCAGGCTATGCAAAATGGAGCAACAGGAAACATCATGCTCCTTACAGAGAACAACCCACAATACTGCATGATTTCTGCCTTCCACCATTACTTCCATCTCTCATATTTTCCCTCACTCATAAACATCTCTCAGCCTCTCTTCAGCTCCTGTCAGTTCTTCACTGATGACGCTTTTTTCTCACAGAGACCTCACAAAAGCTACATTCACCTCTCTCTCTCTCTCTCTCTCTCTCTCTCTCTCTCTCTCTCTCTCTCTCTCATCAACGGAACCACACTTCTGGATTGCGTTGATCACTGGTTACTTGTCCTCTCAGGTAGACACTATCACATCAGCACCCAACTGCAATTAGAATAATAGTGGCATGACGTACCTGCCTGGTTGGCCGCATGCACCTATTCACAAACAGATCAAGAGTTCAAATCCTACATCGGGTACAGTATGTTTGTTGTCAAGGTTCCTTCATGAAAACAAACAGACAAACAAACAAAGAGAAGTGGGTGGCATGACTGCCAAACGACCAACGAGAGAAACCGGGTACAAACCTGTACTGAGCAGATGGGTTGCCATCATCGGCCGTAACTCGGAGCCACTCTAATGCTTGAGTCATTGTGGTGGCCAAAATCGCAGTCTTTGCCTTCTCTTTTGGCTCATCCGTGACATCATCAGGAACTTCTCCCGACATGCTTCCTAAGGACTCGGCATTGTCATCCCCCGCATCATCTTCATCCCCATGTTGTTCCCTTAGGTCTCCTCCGTCTCCCATGTTATCAACCGAGCCAACAGCTTTGTTGATGACGTCATCATCAATAGGAAGAGCACCATCGAAAGAGAGCGGATCACAAAGTGATCCTATGCTATCAGACTCAACAGCATGAACCTCAGAGATCTCCAGTCTTTGGGATACAGAATCTTGGTCAGCGACAGCGTCACCGGACGAAGCTGAGGTGACCCGTGATTTAGTATTCCGATCATCATCGCCACCGACCTCCATCCCTGTGCAAGCTGGACCTTGGGTACCAGCCGGCAAGGAAGAAATAGATCTCCTATCGCGTCGTCGACTTCTCCACAGTGCTATCAAACCGGAAGTGACACTTTTGTAGTTCCCATCTCGGCCGGTACATCCAGGATCACCATCACTGTCTGTATACCGATGGCCTGTGCATAAACCTCCTCTCCATTCCGTCTCAGGGGAAGAAGAAATGTGACACGTATTTAGTCGAGCATGGAAGACTTTGTCATGGTCATGTTCATCCGCGGGAGCTGTGGAATCGCCTTTTTCTGCTGCTTCTGTACAACCTGCTGCCTCCTTGAGAGAATTGTTAAGCTTATCGTCAACATTATTGCATGCAGCAAGGTGCCCAAGCTCTGCGGCTCTTCGATACCACTCCATAGCACAACTCTCATCCTGTGCAACACCAACACCAAACCTATAGCAATGTCCCAACTCCAGTTGAGCTTCAGCAATGCCTCGATCTGCTGCCTTGCGGAAACATTCCATGGCTTTGGACATATCTCGCCGTCGCCCTTTTCCCATGCGGTAGCACTGAGCACAACCCCCAGACGTAACCCCACAATTCAACCATCGACTGTCAATTTGCAATCAATCACCGAGCATCACAAAACCAGAGAATCTAATCAACGATCAAGCATCACACCCGAGCAAACAGAATTCACAGCAGCTCTCCCAAGCTCCTGCAGCAGCGTTCAACTGGCTCTGGCAGCACACTCCTTTCCTGAAAAGGAAAGGAAGAATGGAGAATCACCATCGAGTCATGGACATAATACCATCCAAGAGTGCGTGATGCCCCCCGTCATTTGTGAGCTAGAATAGACATGTGCCATTCAACCTGAAGACTTTTGTGGCAAGAGGGAGAAAGTACCTTACCTGTAATAACTGAAATGCAGGTGTTGGGTCTGCACTCTGCAGCAGTCTTAGTCTCATCCAAGCTGCATCGGATTAGACGGGTGTTGTGTTGCAGGGAGCACTGCAGCTTGCCATTCGCCCTACTCCCAACTAAACAGCAGATATGGGAACTCCAACCCCCACCCTCCCGACCCTCCCACCCTTCCACCCTCCCACCCTCCCAGATCCTCGGACGGGGACAATGGTAACAGACTGTCCAACTGTACAGAGGTCCATTTTCCTGATTTCCTCCTTTTGAACAAAGCGAATTTGAACAAAGCGAAGTGCATCGAGGCCTTCTCTTTCAAGCTTGGACCTCTTTATAGAAAAAAATCAACTAAATCTCTTCCTTTGGGAGTTAGGAGCCAGCTGGAAACCGATATAAGAGCCCAATGGAAGCGTGCAAGACAGAAGATGCAACAGAACCCAGAGGAAGCCAAGAACATCCAGAACTGCTTCAAACGTACGACCCTAGGGTCCAGGAAACTGGCCACCATAGAGGGATCACGATTGACCCTACACTTCTCCAACAGTTAGTGTCAGCATGAGGGGGCGAGAGGAAGGAGGGCTAAAGGGGGTGGAGCAGGGGCTTTAGATGGGCAGGGTTTAGGGTTCAGGGCTTAAGGGAAGAAACCCATAGAACAGAGGGCTTATTTAAGTAGGAATTGAGGAAGAAGGAGACCCAAATATAATCCTGTCTAGTGCGAAGGGTAGAATGATAGAGTAGGAGATAAGTAGAGAGAGTGAAGTTCAACGGTAGTGTAGGGCAGATCGGAGGGTGAGGCGGGCAGTGGCTCGTAAGCTAAACTGGATTAAAAAAAAAAAAAAAAAAAGGGTTTAAGGCAAGGAACTCATGGCAGGAAGAATGAGCAAGGAAGGGTTTATTTAAGCAGGAATTGAGGAAGTGGGGGACTTAGAAATAGTTCTTAGACTGGAACAGGGCGTAGAGAGTTAGGACAGAAACAGGTAGAGAGATAGAGGGTTCAAGGGAAGTGCAAGACAGACTGGAGTCTGTGGCGAGCAGCGGCTTGTAAGCTAAACTGGGTAATGCTCCCAGAATAACTCCGGGTTGAATTGTGCGGGCCCCGACCTCGACTTCTTTTTGGAATATAATGATATGAAAAGAAGAAAAAAAAAATCAAAGAAGTCCACAAGGGCAACAAGTGATCGCTGTCAGTGCCCAGGCGGTCTATCCTGGGGGCAGGCAGGATCAGTTATCTGGAAGCAGGGAGGATTCGGTTCAAATGGGCACAGCAACAGAGGGGGAGGGGGGGGAGGAGGGGAGAGGGGGGAGAAGGGCAGGGCAGGGAAGGAACAGAAAACAAACAGGAGAAGCGGGATGCGTATCAAAATATAGGAAGGGTACAGAAAGAGGTCAAGGTAAGGAGGGAATCTGGCAGTCAAATCTTCCAGGAGGAAGCAGTCCATGCTGTCAGAGAAATAGGATAGGATAGCAACAGTAGAGGGCTCAATTACAAAGCAGGTGCAGAGCAGTGATACATCCTTCCTAGGAGGAAACAATCAATGCTGCTGTCTCAGGATCTCTCGGGCACAATGGGGAGAGGCGTGGACACAAGTGGTTAATGGGGACCCCCACTTTCAGCTCCTGAGTACCGGGTTGAAAACTGAATTTAGGCCCCCAGAATAGAAAGAAGCCTGGGCCTTAAGCCACCAGTACATGGCCCCAGCCTTGCTGAAACAAAGCTCATCACCCATCCAAAAAAGTCCGGGTCAGGGCCGCCGTTGATAAATTCAATCGGTGGCCTTTGTCACGTTTCAGCTTCTGAAAGCAGCCCACAGCCAATGTATGGTGTGTGCCGGTGGTTTAAACCACTAGTACACGGCCCCAGCCTTGCAGTCCGAAACTTGTGGCCACAAGAAAACGAGGCCGAAACATCAAGCGCTGGGCCTGCCGTTGATAAATTCCATCGGTGGTCGCGTTTTCGTTTTGCGCCTCCAGAATTTGAGGTGTCAGGCCCGTGGCCTAGATACTGGTGCTTTTAAGGTCCAGTTCACTTAAAGACTTGTATCACTATTTGTTTGTTATTGAAGTGAGGCAGCGAGGAAGGAAGAGGAGAGGAAGTGCTCAACAACACAACTACGCACACGAGATGAGAATCCAAGAGATACACCAGCCAAGCTCAACCAAGATGTACAAGTAACAATTGACCAGAATAACAGCCAGGAAAAAAAAAAAAAAAAAAAAAATGCCACAGAGGAGAAAGAAGAAGAAATTCAACACAGTATCTCCTTGTACCCCCCACTTCGCTTATTCCACCCACCTAACTTTTCACACCAGCCACATGTCATATTAGCCAGTACACCAGAGGTCGTTCACCGCCGGTGAGCACAATATCACTCGCACTCCGTCATCGACTCCGAATTCCTTTTCATTTTATTTTATTTGGACCGTTTCTCAATTTATGTGTCATCCTTGCACAGGGGCCATGCTAATGTTCTCTGTATCGTTCCAATTTTAACAGATGTCCCAAAGGGCTCGACTCACGACAAGCACTAGAATCCCCAGCACGTTCCACGTCACAGCATGGCATGATCAGCCAGAGATGGTCACATCAGGCCCCTTGGCCCACTGTGCCGATCCCACTGCCACCAGCGTGTCCCTGACCAGGTCCATCCACTCCCCACATCCATTCTTTTTTCGGTTTTTTTAACTTTTGTGAAATCCCCACATCTATTCTGGTACCTGAACCATACTGCACTTTTCTGACAATGTGAACTGCTCATTGTACCAAATAACCGCTGTCGCACATTCAAAAACAAGTTATGTTGCCCTCCCCTCCCCCCCCTCAATCCGCTTCCAAACCCATAAATATGTAAGGCCCTCATACCCCTGCAAAACCCTCAGCAGATCTTTCTTTTTTTTCATTTTATAATTTGGACCATTTCTCGATTAATGTCTCATCCTTGCACAGGGGGCATGCTCATTTCTCTGTATCGCTTCAATTGTAACAGGATGTAGTCCATCCATATTCCCAAAAAGTTGGGACAAACTTCAGGGACGAACTCGGATACAATAGGCTTCTTGAGGGGAGCGGTCCCCAGCATCAGGGTGCTTGGCAAACCCCACCAAGCAGAAAGAAACGCCACAAGTAAACAGAGCAAGGAGAGAGGTAGTTAATGGAGGCCCGGATTTTCAGAAAATTATCATGCAATGAAAACAAAAACAGGCAAAATAACAATAATAATAATAATAATAATAATAAAATCAACCCCCAAACCCCGAGTTTCAGTTTTGGGCCTGTTAGTCAGGGACTGAAAATTGGGGGGGTTTAATTTTTTTTGGCCCGGCCGGGCAAGTGGTCCCGGGCCACGCTGGTAGCCTAGTTTCTTATTCATTTGTTTGCACATTCATTGTTCATTACCTTTTTTATTCCATTGTTTATTCTTGCGTTAGTTCCTTTATTTTTTCATCTCTTTGTACAGTTTGTTGGTTTTTTTATTTTGATAAAAAATCATAAAGAAATCAAAGAAAAAGGTGATATATATTATATAATATATTACCATTTGTTTTTCTGATTTTTCTTTTTCGTTTCCCCCTTTTGTTGATACGGGTAAAAATTTACTACAAAATACTGGAAAATAGAGGTTATCATACATCGTATACTATTTCCTTCTGTACTTCTCTTAATCCATGAAAGAGAAGTAAGAGAGAGTTTAATCCGACGTTCGGCTTTCTTTTTTACATCTCTGCTGAAGGAACATTAGCGGACTTACTTGTCCAAGGCGAAACAGAGCTTCACCATGTCCTTGGGCAGCTGCCCTCTTATACCATCTGCATAGGAGACACGTGTAACAACACCAAATGCAAATCAGCGACTAAAGAGTTGGGGTTGCTCAATAGAAAAAGCAATAATTTTGACCCTATTTGAATTTAGGACAATGATACCACAGGTAAGTAAGAATGATGTCGTAAATGTAATTTGTTCGCGAGAATGGACATCCCCAACACAGGACGAACAACGCTCCATACGCCTAAGGCACTGAGCAAAACACAAGGTGGGAGAGAAGCACTTCGCATGCATGGTATTACACTGAGGGCCTTGGTCAGCCACTCACCAAATGAGCAAAATGAGGAACGAATATTCTGCTAGAGCATCGAAAGATACACCACCATATGTTTTGTCTTTTCTGCATGTGGGGAGTAGTGGAGCAAGGCCCTGAGAGCTGTGAAGTCTCTTTGTTCCCAACTACACACCACGCTCCTTAAAAAAACAAAGGAAAATTAATAAAAATTATACACCACCCTCCTCTTTGGACTGCAGATTGGACCCAAAAAATGAATGGTCGAAATCCGACAATGCATACTCAGAATCTCTCTTTCTTTCTTTTTTTTGTGTGTGTGGCACTGTGTGTGAGAACTGCAATCAGACTCACATTCATTCACACTTCACACGTATGCAAACAGGTTGCGCAGCAAACTGGTGCCAGGCGCCCACTCAGAACTCAGAGATATAGTACCAAGAACTCAGTTCAGATACAAGTTCACTTCCTCTGGCTATGGCGGCGCATTGCCTGTACAACTCTCTGTCGTCACTCACTCAACACTGCTGTTCGCACGCAGGATCACCCTGGATACCCCACACGCAACACTCCGTACCCTCGCGCGCACACTCACACACACCTACAGCTATGGCGGCTAGGGCCGCTACTACCCTATCGCTACGGCTATCTCCTTCTCGCCCACTTCCTCCTCGGGCTCACTGCAGACCACCTCGCACAAGTCGCTATGGCAGCGCTTCCACATGGCTTACGGAGGAATCAATGAATGGCTGGACGCTGCCTCCTGATTTATACTTATGTAGCTCGCTGGTCTGGCCCTTTTCCATCGGCCCATTGTGCACACAGTCCCATATGGTACTTGCTGGACTGGACTGGGACTGACTGGACCGTACCGCTGACTGCATGGGGTTGGACCGCAACCTCACCGCAGTTGCACTGCCAACACACTGAGGTTGGCTCCACCACTTGCCCACTTGCCTCTGCCTAACGTGAGCCTACTCCGAAAGGCCACTTCCGGAAGTCTGTAGACTTGGCCTTTCGGTACTGTAGCAGCTACGGCCTTGACCTTTCAGGACTGCAGCAGCTACGACCTTGACCCTTCGGACAGGCTACAGCTACGACTTCTAGAACTCACTAGGACTCCTATCCAACAGGTCTACAGATCGAACCCCTACCCCTACACCGACCTACGACAGACAACAACAACTGTCAAAACACAGGTCACGGGTTCAAACACTCGGGGTCAACACAGATACTGTACACAGGTAAGGTGGGAACTAGGGATCGAGCCCTGGGATCTGCGCTCGCTACTGCTGACAGGTGAAAACCGTTTCAGAATGGTCACCAGGTTGACTTTTCACATCAGCCAAAAAAAAAACATCATGCTGCTCACATGGAAAACCCCTTTCTCAGAGGCTACTCTACCAGTTCCAGGTTGGTGGTGTGTTTCTCGTTCTTTTCTCAGACAAAGCCGCCAATCTAATAATGGCAGGGAGCGTCACCTGGTGGAATTTCCACCTACCGTTCACATTCCCTCAACCCACTACATCTCGACTGCTCCTTCCCGGTATACTTAGGCATATAGGTAGGTAATGTGAGGTATGCTTGAGTGAAGAATGGCGGTGGCTTTACCACCGTTTCACCTCCAGGGTAATCAATGGTGGCAAGGATACGTTTTCTACGCTGCTCGAAGTTTCGTACTGGTTCTTCCTTCAGAGAAAAGAGATAATGTATCAAAGGGACACTGTATCCGTTTTCCAGCAGCTGACGCTCCCCACCAATAGATGGAGCAGCCCGACAGATAAGCCCTCAATTCTGATGGTTCTCTTACCACCAACGGGATCCCGTTGGTGGTAAGAGAACCATCAGAATTGAGGGCTTATCTGTCGGGCTGCTCCATCTATTGGTGGGGAGCGTCACCTGCTGGAAACCGGGTATATATATATATCGTCAAATAGAACTGCCCGGTAAACCGTAGGCAGAGAGGGAGAAGAGGACAACAAACGAGGGGCTGTGACAAACTGTTTCGTTGGAGTTTCACCGACTCATCAGGAGGCTGAATATATATATATATCGTCAAATAGAACTGCCCGGTAAACCATAGGCAGAGAGGGAGAAGAGGATATCGTCACAAACAGAACTGCCCGGTAAACCGTAGGCAGAGAGAGAAAAGAGGACAACAAACGAGGGGCTGTGACAAACTGTTTCGTCGGAGTT